TTTAAAGCCCTTAACGGTTTAAGACCTCAATACCTGGCTTTCTTTCACCCAGTTCTATCCGTATCACCCTCTCCAATCAGGCTGGGCCACTGAGGGGCTTAAAGCCAAGAGAGGCCCTGTGGGAAAAAAACCAGAAATCAGCCCTTCTCGACAGTGGCCTCTCACCTTTGGAACAACTTACCTATTGAGATCTGCCTGGCTCCCTCGCTGAGGGCCTTCAAGACTAACCTGAAGTCATGGCTATACAGGCAGGCCTTCCCTACCTAGCCTATCTCCCATTTTCTTATTTTTCTTTTCTCTCCTTCTTATTCTTCTCCCCCACCTTTCTTTTTTCCTTTCCCATCTTGGATTAATCTAGATTTTATCTTAGTTTATTTTTATATTATATGTAAACCGCCCAGAGTAGACACGTTCTAGATGGGCAGTATATAAATCCAATAAATAAATAAATAAATTATACATGTGGAGTTACATACTTACCACCTTATAATTAGCAAGTAAAGAGATCCAACCCTGAACAGAAAGAGCTGGTATTTGCTTCTATACAAAAGAGATGACAACTGAGGATTAGAGCTAACTAACTTAGAAGTAACTAGCCAAAATTCAGAATAAAACAGAAGGAAATATCTGTTGCATGGCTGCATACCCACCCAAGCTAGTCTTAAACTTTATAGGCTGGAAGCTTATTTTAACTGCACATGTAAACAGTCCATTTCATGCATGACTCCTCTTTCCCAGCATTCAAATATTCAGTGAAAAGCCCCCCCTTTTTTTTAAGAATAAGTGTCCTCTGCCTTACTTCACTACAAACTGAAAATGGTGTGGAATGTAACAACATGGAGGTGCTATTCTCTGAATTCCAACAGGATTCTGATCATGATCTTCTTTAGCATTTTTGGACAGGACATAAAATATGTCTTCTTCTTCTTCTTCTCTTTACATATGCCACACAAATGTAAATTTCTGTTGGTCAGATGGACATCCAATTTAAAAATGTTCTTGCCCAGCTTCAATACCACATCAACAACGCCCACCTTAGCTAGTGTACTACGGTCAACCCTCGACTTACAAACTTAATCTGTTCTGGAAGGATGAAAAGTAAGTCGAAAAGTTTGTAAGTCGAATCAGCATTTCCCATAGGAATGCATTGAAAATCAATTAATCCGTTCCGGCTGTTTTTGGTTCTTAGGTCGAGGGGCGGTTTGTAACTCGAACCATTAGTTCCCATAGGAACTAATGCAAAGCTGGTTAATCCATTCCTACCATTAGGGGCAGAATTTTTTTCTTTTTTTTCCTTTTAACCTAAGATGACTTAGGAAAGAAAAGAGGATAGGGAAGAGGGAGGGAAGGAGGGGACAGACACCTTTTCAGCCGAATACATTGAAAAGCACCTTTTCAGCCAATCAAGCCAATACAAGCATCTTTTGGGGAAAAGGGGAGCAGCAAAGGAGGGAGGGAACACCTTTTAAAAATCCAAAAATCAAAAAATTTTAAAAAGCCAAAAAATAAAAATACAGTCCGTACAGCACTGTACCAGGCAGTACCAAGCAGTCTGAAAACTGTCTCCAAATCCACTCTCAAAACATTGGGAAGAGTGAGGAAGCAAAGAGGCCAACGGTTAACTGAAAGTTCAAATTTCATGCTTTCCCCACCTCCCGCGTGGTTTTTTCGGTTCGTAACTCGAATCTAAGTTTGCAAGTCGAGTCAATATTTTTCTATCAGAGTGGTTTTTAAGTCAAAATGTTTGTAATTAGGGCCGTTTGTAAGTCAAGGGTTGACTGTACAGTGATCAGAGCTAAGTGAGCAACTTGTGGCTCTCTGTATGTTGCAGTTCCTATAAACAACAGGCAGCATAACCAACAGTGAAGGATGATGGGACTTTTATCATCTGGAACACCAAAGTATATTCAACCCTAGATCTTATGTAAGATTAGAACTGGGAAGATCCAGATCCAAATTCCTATTCAGGAATTAGAAGATGGCTAGATGACCCTGGGTCAATTTGTCTGTCCCAGTTAAGCAGGCAGGCAACTTAAGTGCCTATGCAAGGAGGAAAAGGAGGAGGTTCTGTAGGGGGACTTTTATCATCTGGAACACCAAAGTATATTCAACCCTAGATCTTATGTAAGATTAGAACTGGGAAGATCCAGATCCAAATTCCTATTCAGGAATTAGAAGATGGCTAGATGACCCTGGGTCAATTTGTCTGTCCCAGTTAAGCAGGCAGGCAACTTAAGTGCCTATGCAAGGAGGAAAAGGAGGAGGTTCTGTAGGGTCCATCCTTTTGAGGAAGGGGTCAATCTGCAAGCTTCCTGTGGAATGGACCCTCCCTTGTGCAAGCAGTGTGTTGTAGCAAAAGTGTGGCAGAAAGGATGTGTTCACTATACCAGGGAAGAGTCAAGTGTGACCTGTGGGCCAAAGGTGTCAGCAGGGGATTTCTGAACACCACCCAAAGCATTCCAGATTTCCCCAATCTGGTCAGTGCTTTCAAACAAACAAACAAACAGACAGACAGACAGACAGACAGACAGACAGACAGACAGACAGACAGACAGACAGACAGACAGACAGGCTACTATCAGTTTAGAGCCCTCCAGAAACATCACAGCAGGATCATCCTCAGCTGCCCAGCCCACAAAACCAGTTGCAGTTTGAGGGGATTTTTTTAATTGGCCTGTTATGGCTTATAGCAAGTCTCAGGGCAAGAATTTGTTTTTTTAAAAAAAGACCCCAACCTACAAGGTGAGGTTAGAACGGTTTGGTTTGGTTTGGTTTAGTTTAGTTTAGTTTAGTTTGGTTTACCTTAGCTTAGCTTAGCTTAAAGGAAAACACAGTGGCCCTTGACTTACGAACTTAATCCGTTCTGGAAGGACGTTTGTACCTCGAAAAGTTCGTAAGTCGAAGTACCATTTCCCACTGAAATGCATGGGAACGGAATTAATCCATTCCAGCATTTCAAAAAAATACCAAAATAAAAATAAAAAGAGCAAGTCCCACGTTGGGACTGCAAACACAAACACAAACACACACACACACACACACAAACCACAGAAACATCATAACCCCCCCAAACCCACCCTCCAAAACCCACACAGAAAAGTTTTTTAAAAAGGAGGTTCTGAGCCAGATTATAAAATTAAGTATGGTGCACAGAACTGCCGGAATTTTTTTCTATTAGAGTATTAGACCCCTAAAGTCATCCATTGAAGCTGAAGGACAGGCATTCAGGACAGACACACCAACATACCTCAAACAGTGCATAGTTAAACTCTGAAATTTGCTCCCATGTTTTATTCTGATGGCTATCAATTTAGCTTGCATTTAAAGTGGGGATAAACTCTTAGGGTATAAGGCAATCAATGGCCACCCATTATAATGCCTTTGTGTCAACCGCCAGGATTTGCATGTCTCTGAATATTAGTTTATGTGGAATGACATAAAGCTAAGGCTTTATGTCGCCCCAAGTAGACATTGTCTAGAGGGGTGGGGTAAAAATCCAATAAATAAGTAAATAAAGAAGTAAGTAAGTAAGTAAGTAAGTTAGGGTATAAGGCAATCAATGGCCACCCATTATAATGCCTTTGTGTCAACCGCCAGGATTTGCATGTCTCTGAATATTAGTTTATGTGGAATGACATAAAGCTAAGGCTTTATGTCGCCCCAAGTAGACATTGTCTAGAGGGGTGGGGTAAAAATCCAATAAATAAGTAAATAAAGAAGTAAGTAAGTAAGTAAGTAAGTAAGTAAAGTAATAAGTAAGTAAGTAAGTAAGTAAGTAAGTAAGTAAGTAAGTAAATAAATAAATAAATAAATAAATAAATAAATAAATAAATAAATAAATGAATAAATTGCATTCATGTCATATTATTGTGGATATCCATGGGAAACAGTTTGCTGAGTTGGTCTGCTCCAGCAGGACTTCTCCTGGCAAGAGCAGCTCATGGAGTATGATGGGTGTGTCTTCATTCACAACTACACTTGGAGGAACATTGCAACACAGTGACTTCAGTCATTTCACATGACAGTCCTGATGTGGTTTTAAAAAGTGCACATTGGTGCCATTTTTAAACTGCACCAGGGCTTCAGTCCCACCTACTTCCCTGCACTGGTCTGGAGTTCAATACATGGCATAAACAAAGTTGCTGGACCTGCTCCCAGGCAAGAACAGTGTCAATGCCTGGCCAGTGCTAGGGAGGTTTCTGAATCAACTCAGCACTGGCTGGCCAGTGATGGTTTTGCTAAGGGGGCAGCTCCAACAGCTCCTTTTCCTCATCACAGCAACTGCTTCAGGCTGCTCTAACCATGGTACTATTACAAGCAGTGGGAAGCTTCCCAGTGCTGACCAATCTGCAGGCCAGGGACTGCTCCGTCTTCTGCTTTAATGCAATAACATATAGTTCCTGTCTTCAGTTCCAGATCGGGGGGGGCACCTTGCTGACCCAGTCATAAGCTGCCTCTGTCTCACAGGTTCTTAATTACTACTTCCCACCACCTCCAACTTCTTCTAAACAGCCATCACAGTCATCACCTAAGATTCAAACTGACACTACAGTCAGCAGAGCTGCCCCACTACAAGTTAAGGAACATATTGGGGGGGGGGAGATGGATTTCATGCGATTTCAGAACTATACAGTCACAGGACTATGTGTGTTTAGAGCACATACTATAGCTGGGAATAACCCAGATTTGCATTTGCATTGTACAGATAATTCTATTTCTGGTGTCCATTTCTAAGATCCTCAGATTTTATCTTCCTTCTTAGTGCATCACAAAATGTGGTGGAAACTATACCACAAGACAAATTCTGTTCTGGTGAAAAACAGCTGCTCATAAGCAGGAAGGAAGCTGACTGATCAAAGTGTGAAGCATGCGGTAAACATCCAGAAAACGGCAGAATTTTTTCATGTTGTGAAAAACCAGCTATTGAGATACTGAATCCTGGATAGAATATGCCTTTAAGTATTGGAAGGAAGAACTGTCAAGGATTTATTGATGGCACTGAAGATGGGAGACTAGCTGAAGGTAAAGTTTTCAATTTTTATCTCTCTTCTTGTTCCAGTTTCATCACATGTTTACTTATAACTAGTTTGTTAGTTATTGACCCTACCATCAGAAAGATAATGGCAGTTATCTCAGGCAGCCCCACATTTTTCCCCAACAGTGAAAGGGGCCTTCCCTCAGTCATTCTCCTCATTTGGAGGACAGAGCCAGCTAGATACTTGCAGTCTGGGACTCCCCCCCTCCCGCCCCACTTGTTTTGCTATGGATTATGGAAAGTCCTAGAGGCAGGAATTTGGAAAAGAGCCCCCAAACTAAAAGGAAGGTTAGCATTTTAAAGAGTTGAGTTTAAACAGTGGAACCAATTCCCTTGAGTCTCAGTCATTCTCCTCATTTGGAGGATAGAGCCAGCTAGATACTGTACTTGCAGTCTGGGACTCCCCCCCC